AATAGGTGCCTGCCATGCAATGCATGGAGGCAGTGACTGACTTGCTTCGCAAGTCAGTCCACTGCTCTCCTTATGCATTGCTATGGGCAGGCCCCAATTAGTTGGTACATGATTCTTGTGTACTAGAGTCTGTGTGCTGCCAGTATCTATTAAAGCATTCATTTTATGTCCAGCAATCTTCACTTGAATGATTTTATTGACTGCTTTACTTCAAGTTTAATATCCATCTTCTCTTGAGGCACAAAACACAGTTGAGTTAGCTTACTTTGATTCTTGGGGCACATGGGCTTGGTGTGACCTTCTTGTCCACAGAGGTAACACTGGTGGTCCTTTCCATATCTTGGAAGGCTGATTTTCTCTTAAAAAAGGCTTACCCACACCCGTTGCTAGCTTTTGATGAGGCTGAGAGGGTTGTGACCGATGTGAGTCTTTGGCAGCTCTCCATGCACTGTTGCTCCATGGCTGACTCCTACTTCTGGCAGCTACAAACATATCAGCCAGAGTAGCAGCTTCTGCAGCAGACTTTGGATTGTGCTCCTCGATCCAAACCTGAAGCTCAGGACACAGCATTCTCAAAAATTGTTCCAGAATAATCAGTTCACCAACTTGTTTCACAGTTTTATCTTCAGGCTGAATCCACTTCTCATAAAGTTCTTTCAGCCTTGAATACAGTTCTTTTGGACTCTCATCAAGAATTTCAAGGCAGCGAAATCTTTGTCTATAAGTTTCTGGATTTATATCATATTTTTGTAAGATGGCAACTTTTACCTTCTCAAATTCAAGGGAATCATCCACATCCATGTTAATATAGGCACTGCGAGCCTTACCTATTGAGCTGGAAGCTTAATCTAAATCCTCAGCTTGAGATGTTGCTTGAGTTTGATGATCAGCTTGATTTCCAACAAGCTGTGGGTCATTTGATATAGGCTCCGTGGACAGGGTAGTCCTGGCATGCATTTCCATCTGTAAAAGCCGAAACTGGTGCTGCAGACACTTGAAGCGCTGTTCTTGTTGTGCAGAAACCTCTCTCTGCTTTTTATCCCGAACTTCTTGTTGTCCCATGAACGCCTGAAGAATTCCAGCAATATCATGCAGCGTTGGCTCTCTGGTCTCACCAAGCTCAGTGTCTCCAGCTGCTGCTGAAGCTCCTCCTTCCATTTCCTCCCTGTCTGACTGCTGGGAAGCCTCTTTGGTCTCATCCTTGTTTGCTTTCCTTTGGCGCACACCATTCTGCATGGCTCAAAAAAATGTATTGGAGGAGTAGTAAAAAAAAATCCTCCCAAAAAGCAAAAAAAAAAAAAAAAAATCCTGGCTCCTCAACTCAAAATCCCACTTCTGACACCACATGTGATGGACCGAGTTAAACAGGAGGAGTCACAGGATGTATTTAGAAAAATAGGGTTTTTATTTTAACCCAAAATCATAAATGACAAAAAATAAACTGAGCTCATAAAAGAGGTCAAAGGAACAAAACTGAACTCAGGCAAAGTGTAACCAAACTAACTGCACAACAAACATAACTGACCTAACAAAGAAATGACACACAGGGGTTTATATACTGGCTGATCAGACCATGACACAATAGGGGTAACTAAACAAATACAAATAACACAAAACAAATAATACAGCTAAGTTTGGCTAAACTATAGATCCAAAAATGAAAAAACAAACAAACTTTGAATACTAATATTTTCTTAAATATGAAACTTATCCAAACAAACTATATCCCCCTGCCAGCAGAAACTATTGGTGTAATCCAATTAGCACTTCTTGCTGACATCAGGGTGTGGCCATGGATTTGGCCATCACAGAGACATTCTATTGGGTGTAGATTAATAGGTGCCTGCCATGCAATGCATGGAGGCAGTTACTGACTTGCTTTGCAAGTCAGTAACTGCTCTCCTTATGCATTGCTAGGCAGGCCCCAAATATTAATGAAGTAATACATTAAATGACCACTGAACAACTATTCATAAAATACACTATATTTTTTTGTGAATAAATTTGTGAATAAAACACACAGAAAGAAATGTAATGTAGAATATATTTATTTATGTATTTAGTGTTAATTTTTTAGTATGATTTGTTCCTTAACTGGCCACTTATTTTAGTTAACGCTATTATTTATTAAATAGCCAAACTCAACATAATAATACTTTTTATTATTATTCTGCAATAATAATAATAATCAAACCAAAATCAACTAAAATCGTAATAATAAAGACTGAGAAACAGCATTCATAACAACAATTGTGCTAGTGATTTCCAAGCGCAATTAAAGAAAAATAGACTGAGTTGCTTTAACGGAAACAAAAAATCATTTTCAGAGCCATGAAATATAAAAATAATCCGCCCATGAATTAAAGAAAATAAAAAATGTTCTTTAATTTTTAATTTAAAAAATATCAATAGCTGTGTAAGCAGAGCATAACAGGCAAACAAATTAATTTAAAAAAAGCAAAGAACAGTTCTCACTGAGACGAGTCTTACCGCTCACCGCATAGAGCCGTTCAAGAAATCCAATCGCTAGTGAACGACACGTCAACACTCAGCAGCTGTGACTTAGCTTCCTCTCAGCATATAAATTGCCCTCGAGTTTTTTTCTTTCCACCAGTATCTGCACTCTTTCTTTTAAGTCACTTGGTTTTGAGCCAGTTCTCCATCATTATTTTTTACACAATCCTAGCTAGCTGTAGCGTCAACAGCTCAAGTCACTGCAACTAAATGTTCGTTTCATCCTGTACCTGGCGGACCACTAGGGGACGCCCGGAGACCACAGTTTGAGAAAGACTCATTTAGACAAACTTGTTTTTTATTTCATCAATTTATATTACATCTTCAACTTGGCCTCAATCTGACTAAAGGATTTGATTGCATTAAAATGAATTTTATCAATACATTTAGTTCACATACGATTGAACTTAGATGAATTAGACCCGTTTGTCTTGGAAAGTGTTTGAAATTTTCCTGGTCATAAAAAACTGAACTGACCTGTGAAGATCTTTTTTGAATAAAACTGTGCAGGCATTAAAATGCATCCATCAATAAATATGTATGTGCTATGTGTGTATAGAGATGTTTAAATGTATGGATGCTTATATTAACTGTTTTGATATTTTTTTTCTAAAAGTGTTCTTTGTTGGTAGATCTCTAGAGAAATGTTGATTTCATGTATATTCACCAGTTAGAATTTTCAGTTCATTGCTTGTGGTGTTTTTTCTGATCAGGCTTCACATTTGTGCTATGCTGCAGGTAGAGTTTTATTAAATATGGTATAATTTATAACATTTAAAGCTGAAGACACGGTGATCTGTTAAGTGTGATAGTCGTGAATCAGGGTTGGTTGTTGGTTTATGACGAGAGTATTACCATCACGAGAAGTGCATTACCTTTGTCAATTGGCTATGATTAAAAAATCAATGTTACTAATAAATAAATAACCAGATCATCATGATCATCATCATCATTATTATTTATTTTTATAATAATATTAGTAGTAGTAATGATTAACAACAATGGCGATATATCAATGTCAAGCTCAGTCGACATTTCTTTTGTCTGCTCTGGTAGCACAAACTTCCATTAGAAGCCTTAAAACATCATAAAGCTTTAATAAACTTCTGTGTCTGGTGCAAAAGAGCTATAAATTACTTCAGGTTTCTTTCTGCTTATTATTTAAAGGTGACATCTGAAAATGAGGGTGGATTTTTATCCTTGTGATTTGGACTGTTCAGTATGTCTTTAAACAGCTGCAAGACAAACGTTTAACAGCTCTTCAAAAATACTTCTCTGAACGCAGGACTTGACAAAATGACGCACTAACAGTGAGTAAAAAGATGACAAAAACCAATTAACGCTGCAGAATAAATCCGTCAGGTGATTTTATCTGTTAGCAGTTTACCTTTTTTCTTTTTAATGCAACTTGTCTTTCTTGTGTGTTTTATTTGTGAGACAAAAAAGCATGCAGCATGAACCGAATCAACACCAACAGAACACATTTCTGTAGCAATTACAATTTATACTTCTAGCTTCAGCGAAGGGAACAACTGAGCAAACTAATGGACTGGAGCGCAACTTACTCTCAGTAATTAATTTGTTCTGTCTCCATCTCATCAAACGGAAATCCAGTCCAAGGATTACAACTTCCGCTCGAAAATCTCTCCCTAATTGCCTAATACCATTGCAGCTCAAATTCTGTCTATATTAAGGCACTTTGGTATTAAGTGGACTGATTGGATATGTGATGAAAACACCGGATCAGCAAATTACTGCATAAGGCTTTCTCTCATAAATGGGCACAGGAGCGGCACTTGTACTCCCACAGATTTTATACTGACAATTACAGTCAATCTGGACAAAATTACTTGACAGACCTGTGGCCCCTAATCCTCCTGTGAGGAAAGCCGCAAAACTATTGGGAAAAAAAATATCCAACCTGAAGTAGGAGCGCGGGAATTAATTTTCAGGTTTAGAAACGGGTTTATTATCATTGTACCTCATAGGCCTTCCTTCTGATAACTTGTATCAGACCTGCCTCGAGACTGAAAAACGATTTTTTAAATAAATTCAGCAACAGAAACGCCACAATCGGCTTCTATTCGTCGGAATTAATTGAATAATATATTAGTCACTCAAGGTTCTGATTGTATTATTTTTCAGATATCTTAACGTCGAAATGTAGTAGAACCTATCCATGTGGGGCCCGAGGGCAGTAAGGCGCCTGCGGCCTGAACCTCCATCAGATTTTTAGCTGCTTTTCAAATTATTTATTGTATGGTTACAGGTGCGCTGCTTATCTCAAATCATTTCACTTTTTTTTTTCCAGAGTCTTTGAATGCGTCCAAAACCAATCAGAACGAAGAGCCCATCCCTCACTCGGCCCTCTCCGCCATTTACAAATCTAATTAGCTGATGGGCCAATCAGCTTCCCCAATCCGCCATTCTGCTTCAATAAATCCCACTAACGCCCCCTCCCACCGACAGCTGAGTGATGCCCGGCACCGAGTCGCTCGGTTTTCACACAGAGGGTGCATTTGATCCACGGAAGCTCGCAAGGGACAGGCAGATGCTGGTACAGGTTTAAGGAGAGGGGGGGAACACTGTCACCATGAGTGTGAACTATGCGTCCGCAGCACCCACGCAGAGATCCACGTCATTTTTCATTGAGGATATTCTGTTGCACAAACCAAAGCCACTGAGAGAAGTTATTCCTGCGCCCTTTTGCAGCTCCCTGACTTCTAGAATGCCCATCCTGGAGTATGGATATCCTCTGATTCCGACGCCAATTCTGGCTCCTCATCCTCACCCACTCCATAAGCCGGAGCATCACCAGTACTTTTTCACACCTGGTAAGCTAGTAGGGCGCCGGAGGTGCAAGTTAAGCCCTGGAAGATAAAATTCTCACAAACTCCTGAATAAAAACGCTTTTGGAGCCTGTTACACTTTTTTTTCTATGAGGGAATAGCAAAATATTTTATCCGATGAAATTGTGACTGCTACTTTTCATGTCAGGGTTTTAAAGTTTAGATTTTTTTTTCTCCTGCTGCTAAAGTGAGAAAATAGGAAATTAACTTAAAAAAAAGCACGAGCAATTTTTCCAATTATTATTTAACCATATTTTGAATAAGTACTTATTACCGTTTCTGAAATATAAATATTGTTTTCTCAACTATTAAAAAAATAAAAGAATATAGAATATTAGAGAACTGTGCAATGTAGTTTGTTTTTTTGCATCAGATTAGGTTCTTTTTATTTTCCTTTAAAAATAAAACAAAATATTCTTGTTAGTCTTGAATAGTTTGCATTTGCACCGCAAATCCAGTTTTCTTTTGGGCGAATGTTCTTTCCAATGTTGGGACTGTTTTTTCCAATTTGACAATATTGTCTTGTCCGACAGCTCGGAAACAGGGCTTACCTTAAAATGCGCCGCAAATCGATCTGACTGCTCTTGATGTTCAACAGGGATGCAGATGCCAGCTCTGTTCCAGCACCACGCAGAGTTACCAGGGAAACACTGCCGGCGCAGGAAGGCCCGGACCGTGTTTTCTGATTCCCAGCTCTCCGGACTGGAGAAGCGCTTCGAGATTCAGCGGTACCTGTCCACACCGGAGAGAGTGGAGCTGGCCACGGCGCTCAGCCTCTCCGAGACACAGGTACACGCAAACACACCTTACACTTTTACCGAAACATTGCAGGATAATCATTTTCAACCGATCTCGTTCATGTATATACATACAATAGTGAACCTGTCTAAGAATTAAAGCTCTGTAGGAATCCTAAGAACATTTAAATTTTACAGTTTTAAATACACTGACTGTCTGACAATGGAAATACACTACATTTAATTGCGATGTGTTCATTCAGGCAAAACAGTGCAATTTATGGAAAGTGTTGAGATTGCTGTGGCCAATTAATATTTTATTTTATTTATTCACTGTTTAATTTCATTTTTATTTTACTGCTGTCTCATTTTTAATTTGCTAAAACAGAAAAATCTGTAAGCAAGAAACCAAGCGTTCACCAATGATTCGTTAGATTTTATTGAATCACCAGAAATATATATATATAAATATGAACAACAAATTCAATTTTTGTTATAATACAAGAACTACATTTTGCATCTTGTCTATTTGACTTTTTAATTTTAAGACTGGGTGCTTGACCAAAGCCAGATTTGTATGCGTAAAAGAGAATTGGTTTACAAGCTTAAATGATTGGTGCGCAAGTGGCGAGCTAAAATGTAGCCTTAATTTTAAAAAAGTTGTCATCTTTTATTTTACTTTATTATTACTATTATTTTTGGATGAATTCCGGTATCAGAGATTCTTATTTGAACGCCCTCTTTTCTCCGTTGCAGGTAAAAACGTGGTTCCAGAACCGGCGAATGAAGCACAAGAAGCAGCTGAGGAAGGTGCAGGATGAGCGGAAGACCCCTGCAGAGATGGAGCGCTGCGCAGAGAACTCCAGCGCGGAAAGCGACCTGAACGAGAAGAGCGCGGAGGAGCTGAGACACGGCCTGGAGGCGGACTCATATATGCTGGAAGAGAACGACGACGACGTGGACATCGAGGACGATATTTGCTCCACAGATAATCTACTATAGGAGCACACTTGTAAGCATTGGCCTCTGCTAATGAAACACAAACTCTGACTTTTCTCCTGTGAAAAAGAGTTCAATGTGAGCTCATTATTATTATTATTATTATTATTATTATTATTATTATTATTATTATTATTATTATTATTATTATTATTATTATTTCATTCTACAAAGTCTAAACTTGGTAAATTCGTGTTATTTTGTATTTCTGCAAATTCCTGTACATAAATATGGCTCTGTAATATAAACGCATTGTGCAACCTCGCCCCTCTCATACATTTGCGTAAATATACACATACAAAATATATTGAAATAGCACTGAGCTCCCTTTATTCGACTGTTTTTATTTCAAATGTGGAATCTCTGTTTTTACCGTTAGCGTATACTTCAATATCGATCCGTGTTTTTTTTTTTTTTAACAATCAAGTTTTTAGACAATGAAAAATCCACCCACGCGCTTTTAGCTCAGGTCGCTTGATGCTGATTGTTTCCCCTCCATCCCATTGATGAGGGCGCCACTGTTTCAGGTTAAGAAATAAAATAAGATAAAAACCCTAAAGAACGACAGCAACAAATGACAGAAAAAAAACAAATCGAATATCATTTCAAAGTTATTTGTGCGTTTCTAAACAAAGCATCACCACAACGATTTTTTTTTATTAGCAGTGCTCACAGTTACGAGGTAAAATTCTGTTCAATGATCACCAGCTTCACGCTCATTGTTTTCTGTTTTGTTTTTTTGTTTTTGTTGTTGTTGACATCGTGTTGTCTTCATTGCATGTTCATTGTGAGGGATTGCAGCGGCAGTGACCCAGCGTAATCTGCTGGGTTTCCTTAAACACGTACCATTTAACCAATTAAGATAATAAACTGAACTTGATGCACTGAATTGAATTGAATACAACTGAGTTTGATTTTTTTCCTTATGAGAGGATTCATTATATAAATCCGTGTAAACATTGGATCACTTGTTTTGTAAAGTACCTTGGGACACTTGTAAATGGACGCAAGAATTTGAAATCAATTTTTTTCAAGCCTAAAAATTTTAAGTTATTTATTTCTCTCACTCTTGAATTATTGCAATTACCTCTGAAAACACACAAAGAAGCAATACTTTATCAGGCAAACTTTTTGCCTGATAAATTTTAATAGTTTTTTGAGAAAAAGGTAGAGTCAAAAGGGAGCGATGTTTAATTCTTATGAATCCACGAGTACAATCAAGACACTTTACCTGTCATGATTCCAAAAGGTGTATCTGGACCAGAAAGATTCTGATCTCACATAGTAAATTTAGTTACAGCCCTTATATTATCATTAAACAGCTGACTCCTGTTCTCTTTTGCAAGTACTAATTCGCAGACCGAAATCAAATTTCTTACAAAGCTTTGTACTTTATTGTTAGACTAATGAAGGCATTTTATGAAACGGGAATAAAAAAAATATTTATATAGATATGGAAATAAAGACTGACAAAATTTCAGTTATACTAATAGAGCTATCTAAATAAAATTGACATCAGTATCAATTAAATCTTCAATTTTGCTGTATAGATATTATAGATTAATACAGATTAAATGTCCAGTAACAAACTTCAACCATGTTTTCTGTGTATTCCCAACACAGATTTTGTCTAGCTACTTGATTCTAAGCCAGTTGCTTCTCAATGCATTTTCAGACACTACACACATAGTCATATTATTATTATAGTAAGCACAAGCAAAAGAGCTTCTAAAAGCAGCAGTGGAGTATAATATAAGGACAACTGCTTAAAAAATATTGATTAAAGATTGATTCAGCTGTTAAAAAAAGGAATTGCGCATTAAAAAAAATTGTCTTTCACGGATTATTTCACTTAAATATCTGCACTCCAAGATTTACAAATCATCTTTAGACCAAGTAAATTAAAAAGTGATCAGAGCACCCAATGAGATTGATCAAATGCATGTGTAAAACAATTCATGCCCAGGCCAAGTATGCTAATGACCAGAAGTTCAAAAATAAAAGCAACAAAAAAAGTAGAAAACATCCAGTCAGGTGAAAAAAAAAAAAAAAATTGTCAAGAAGCACAGTCAACACAGAGTTTGACAACATTTATGCCCAGACAGTTGGGTTTAACATTTAGCAGGTTTGTAGTAAAAGAACCATCAGGTGGACCAAGGAAGGCATCAAAGGTTGAGAAGAGTGAACTGAAAACAAAATGTCCTAAAAGTATGAAACAGACAAAAAAAGAAATAAAACAAAAACACTTCTTGTGTCTGAAAAAGTTTTCTGATAAATCAGGAATCCTCATTAGTAATTATTGCAGAATTATTTAGTTTAGTGTCCAATGAAACACAAACATTTATCATACAGTCCTTATTACATTTCGTAAAAAGTTTCTTGCTAATGAAGCCATTTTCTTACAAGATCTAACCAGAGAGTAGCAGAAAATCTACATGTTTATTTGATCAGAAACCATGGTGAAAATGTAAAAAAGAAAAGAGAAAAAAAGTCCCACAACAAAGAAGCAAGGTTTAACTTAGTTCATAACAAACTTTAATTTACATTAGAAAAGTTCAGTCAAAAAATCCCAACATAATTTTCGCTTGATTTATGGTTTTCATTTTAACCTTCAAACTAGTCCTTCAAATATAATTTGATTTCAGGGTTTATTGCACAGATCTGTTTATGTACACTAAGTAGTTTTGCTATAGTACGTTTTCATTTTTGCATTTCCAAAACATAAACAAGTAAAATAAAGTCACATTTCTGTGAGAGGTACTTTCTATGATTTATTAATGTGACTGTAATGTGTGTATAAGCCATTAACTCCACCAGATCTTAAGTCTGGAAACCTGATTTTTAAAAGGCTTCAGGATAACATGTAAATCCTCACTGGTCTTTGTGCACCATTCACTATATTTTTCTACTTTTTGAAAAGCAATTCATCTCATCTACAAAATGGGATTCTGATAAGCAGGTGATGAGGAGGAAACAAACTCTCCACACACATATACACACGCACACATACAGAATAGGCCAGGCAGAAGGTGATCAATTAAAGGATTAAGTGTTTTGCAACACATGGACTCATCTGCATTTGGGCCTAACAGCAGGGCCATCAGCTCATTTTCAGGAGTCCTGCCTCCAAATGAAAGCATACTTCTCACTTCAAAGCATCCATGTCTGCTTTAGCTTCCTGATGAACAGAGAGAGATGGTAATTTGGTCTCCTTCATGTTTAGTGGTGAAAGACTCCTTCAATTAACTGGATTTCAATGGCAAAAAATGAGTAGGTGGGAGGAAAAAGATGCAAAGAGACACAGCTAGGATAGGAGGCAATCCTCATTAAATTAAAAAGGCTGAGACCATTTGTTTTCAACTGTGCATCTAAGGACTTAACACTAAAAACACAGAACTTCAAAGAGTCCATGATGGGTTAAATAGAGACTATAATCTAATTAAAATATTGCACACAGGTAAAAAGTGCTTTGATAATGATCTGAGGGTTCAATTAGTAAAATAGGTGTTTTGTGTGAATTATTGCTTATTATAGTGCTGCAAAATCTAGGGACCTAATCCAGTATTTGAGTTTTCATGTAATAAAGAAATGAAAACAAATAGAGAGTAAAGAGTCAAATCAATCAATCAATCAAATTTTATTTGTATAGGACATTTCAGCAACAAGGCATTTCAAAGTGCTTTACATCATAAACACAAAGTCATGCATCATGGAATAAACAATACATACATAAACATACATACATAAACAATACATATACATATTACATATTACATATTATATTATATTACATATTTCAAATGCAACTCTAAACAGGTGTGTTTTTAGTTGAGATTTGAAGGAAGTCAGGGTTTCTGCTGTTTTACAGTTTTCTGGAAGTTTGTTCCAAATTTTTGGTGCATAGATGATGAAAGCTGCTTCTCCTCTCTTGGTTCTGGTTCTGGGGATGCAAAGCAGAACCAGAACCAGAAGACATCAGAGGTCTGGAAGGTTGATACAACAGCAGATCTTTAATGTATTGTGGTGCTAAACCATTCAGTGATTTGTAAACTAACAACAGTATTTTAAAATCTATTCTTTGAGCTACAGGGAGCCAGTGGAGGGACTTTAAAACTGGTGTTATGTCTCTATCTTCCTGGTTTTAGCGAGAACACGAAATGAGCACACAGTGACAATGCCTGGGGTTGAACTGGGTGTCCGACTCATCAGTCAAAGTCCAACCAGACTCCGACTGATGAGCAGGTGACCACATGTCCACAGGACATGTGGTGGTTTGAAAATTTTATTTTACCCCCGAATCTTTATACCTTTACATTTCAGCGTGCTGCTTGTGTGAAGCAGGGAAGGATGATCAAAACACCTTAAAAATGGTCATCCACTCAATGTTTTCTTTGTTAAAATAGTTACTGTGCAAAAAGTCGCCACAGTAATGTTTATTTTTGCTTGTTCTGACATACTATATTTGGTATTTCACAATCATAACCGTTTTTCTGTGTGGTTCTATGCTCCCCAATATGTTTTTAGATCACTGCCATGTTTTTTTGTCTCATCAAACAAATAATATAGTGTGAAATTGCTGACTCAATTTCAGTCAGAAATTGACCAAAGAAGGTCAATTGAATTCAGTACAAAGGCTCATAAAAAAAAAATGTATAGGAAATTAACATCAGTAACTTTGTGACGTGATCCACTTTTTTCAGTAACAAGTTAATCTTTGCTATTTCAAATCCAGGAAACAGATTAAAGTTACTTATTCAAATCACTGTGCATTACTATTTTGTTTAGTAATTATTAATTTTATTGTGCGTCTTGGGGAGCAACCGCCGTTTCTATGCGGCAGTTATCAACAGCGACAATATGTAAACAATGGAGAAAAGTGAGAGATCCACGTTCTCTTGCTGGAAAAACAGGATCTATTTTGAGTTTTTGTTGCCAAGTCCGATTATTATAAGCAGTTTCCGTCTTTTGTGAGGGGGTTTCCAAATTCACTTGCAAATTTGATGAGTCACGGGTTGCATATTTTGGGCTTGTTTTTGAACGTAAAGT